TGCAATTAACTTGAATATCATGCGATCATAATGAATTCAAACAATTAAGATACAAATACAACAATAAATTAATATAGCGATATTTTTTTTCACAATGGAAAAGTATCCATCAACACACCAAGGACAAGGAGGTCGGGCATCATGTGTCATTTCCAACTAAATACGAACAACCAAAAGAAGTCATGCATGTTTTACCATTATTAATGGACAGATGCCAAGCTGGATATTCATGAAATCATAACCGTATCTCATGCCAAGGAAAAGGTTGGATAGAAAAAAATACAATCATTGCCAACATTTGTGACATGCACGCCTAAGGTGTCTATCTTTGTTCCCAACCAATACAATAAAGTTTGAATCATCAAGTATGAGTAAATTTTAAGTTTAAGACTAAGTCTAAGTCTAAATTGAATGTTAGTGATGATTCACACTGTATTGTAGCGATTAGACGTGTGTGTCCCATCTGTTGGCAACAATGACATTTTTTTGTATCAGGTCTTATCATTGGGATAAGATACGATTATGGTTTTGTAGACGTCTTGGCGTCTGCCCATCAATGACAGTAAAGCCTACATGACTTGTTCCATTTTTTTTGTATTAAGTTGAGTCTAACACATGATGCACAAATCCTTGATATGTTTGTTCAATACGTCTCTATTGTGAAGTACTACTCTACCAATTTATCATAAAGTTTATACCTTAGTTTTTTGAAATTCGCTATGGCATCACCACATGGTATACTAGCCAATGACTATTTATACATGAACTATGTCCAGGCTTGTAAATCGACTATGACATATTTCTATTGCTCACTCATTCGATATTTTTTTCTCATGCATCTCGTATACGCTCTACGTTGTGGACTTACAAATCCTTCTAACCAGAACCTTTTCCGTATAGGGGTAGTACTAGCTTTTGAAGTTCCGCTACATATAAATAACAACAAATTATCATGCAAGCTATGCTCATCCATAAGTCTATGGACTTAAATGTTTCCGTAATGCTACATTTTATAACTCTTAACTAATGTTTTAAAAACTGATTTGAACCGGTCAGTTGAACCAGTTGGATCGGGAACCAAGGAAGGAAGTTGTTCAACTGGCACCCGTTTTATGCCTATTTCCAATCCGAAACGAACCAGACGATTTTTATAAAGATCCGATTGAACCGATTAAAATTTAACACGATTGAACCTGTTAAATTGAATAAAAACACATGTAAAATTTATGGTTATGTGTTTTTTAATGTATTTGGATTAATCTTGTATTTTTAATGTTTGAACTTATGTACATCAAATTCTTGATTTATTTATGTATGTAGTATTTATGTACATCTGTTTAGGAAAATAGAAAAAAATATGAAAATTATAGAAACCGGTTGACTCGGTGATTGAACCGGTTGAACCAGAAACCGGTCACCATACCGGTTTAACTAAAAAAAAACGGTTTTGTAAACATTCCTCTTAACTGCCATTTACAATTTTTAGCGGCTAAAGTTGGAGCTGACACTAAAGTTGAAACTAGTTCTCTTTATGTACCAGTTTCGTCAGTGTTTTTTTTGGGCTTGGTGTTACTGTCAGTTTTAGATAAAACAACTAGTATGTATATTCCTTGAATTCCTATAACCTGATTAATCATTGTATGATTGAAGCCTTTATGGCTGAAGTAGTAAATCTCTCTCTCTCTCTCTCTCTTTCTCTCTCGTGTTTGCGTGGACGTAGCCGATCATCCGATCGTGTAAACCACGTAAATCGATTATGTTCTATTTTCGTTATGCTTTCATTACTCTATCATAAATCGTATATCACTGTTGTTGAAAATGCTTAATTCGTAACATAATTTACATACTTGGTTACTCCCGCCATTGGACGTCCCATTACCACCACAATGATTTTCCCCAAGTTAATCAAACCTAACAAATTTGATATCAGTGGTTAAATCAAACACCAAGTATATGCAATTTGGAGCATAACCATCTATTTGCCCCCATTGTCCACTACAAACATGTATTCCAAAAAACTGATTATATGAACTCATTCTCAATTAACTTTTTAAACCTTGAATATAGGTGAGTGCACCCTTAAAAAATATCATTTTTAATGTCATTTACCTCTAAGCTTATTATTTGTATAGGTATTTAAATACTTATTTAATTCTTGGTAATATAATACCAACTAGTGGGGTGGCTATGTTGCGCCGAATTTATTAATCTTATATTTTTCATACACTTTTTTTAATGTTTTATTAAAAATAACATTTATATACATTTTTATTAAATAATGACCATTTCTCTGGTTTTGTTTTGCGAAATTAATAATTTTTGTATTTTTGTTTTTGGTAGGGATTATAACTGTGATGTGAAGAGCAGAGAACATTTCTATTGTGAAACATAGGGCCATTTATGTAGGTAGGGACCATATCTTTAACTTTATGAAACATAAGAATCATTTCTGTAAATTTGTTAATAGAAAGGGACCATTTATATAACGTTTTGAAATATAGGGACCATTCTTGTAAAAATAATTCTATATAGGGACCTATTCTTTAAATTATAGGACCTTTTTAGTAATTTGGATACCATGCACTTGTATGGACCATTTCTGTAATTTTCTATTCCAAGGAGTTATAGAATATAAAACTTGATCAATAATTAAATTTAAATATATACTTTATTTTGATCCACATATTATCCGATGTTAATGTTAAAGTAGATCTATTCGAGTCGAATATTTACCAACGGCTTTTTGAATTGTTTAATTTCCGAACGATTACAATACAGTGGCCATCTTGATGATAAATTTATAATCTTAATTAACTTAGATGTATATTAATATCCTTTTTATTTGAGTTTTGTTTCTTCTTTCATGTAATAAATTTATCAAGTCAGTAAGTACGTACTACCCAATGACACAAATTTGGAGCAACAAAAATGAACATGAAATTATGTCAACACAACTTGCAGGCTACAAATTAACTACACTGAAGTATTTATGACACATGCACGCCCATATGATAAAATATAATAATACCTTTGTAGTCGCAACTCGCAATGAACTATTTTACGTATAAATCGAAACAAACAACTTATTGTTATAGATTAATTTAAAAACCATCACCAATATGATTAAATGAATATTAGGCATGAAATTAACTCTCTAAAATGAAGTTTATCCATGTTCGAAGCAAACATATATAGCTTCCTTTCAGAAAAAAAAATAGATTTTGTAAAATAAAGAAGGGAAATATACAAAAAAACCCAACGCTTTAGCATTCATTACTCATGGTCGTCCATGGCACATACGAGTGTGTATATTCTAGTCATTCTCATGTATTGTATTGATTTTTTTATTTTGAAGATATAGAAAATAATCACAATTAATTTCCTCTTTCAATTCGTTTTCTCTTTCTCTTTAATTTTCATCACATGAAAATTCATATGATATCAAAGGAGTACATGGATCGTTATGTACAAATCTATAAGTTCTAAGCAAGCTCCCATTGAAAAAATAAAATTCCTTTTCAAAATGATCTCTCTAACTCAATATTAGATCCCATTTTTTATATTAAATTTGATGTAAAATGGTTTTAAACCAACACTATTTCTTATCAAAAATGGTGTTTGTAAATAATAGAACACTTGATATCATGTCATGCTATACATTTAAGTTATATTTAGTGTTAAACTTTCTTTTGTATAATTTGGGTTTTCAACTTTAAATTTAATATAACTTTGGTTTTTTATTTGTATAATGATAGTTTATCTGTATTGTTTATTACTTGTTACAAATATTGTAAAACTGATATTTATTTGTGATTTATATGTATTATATTTATTTTTTATGTTTTAGTTTTATTTTATTTTTTTAAAAATGTTTATAACATAATACATCTCTAAATAATTAATACACCTGACAAATATTATAATTGTCTAATAATATATTCTAGAAAATTATTGTATGATTCAAATTTGAAAATAAATAAATAAGTTAATAAAACTTTAAGAAATACAACTATATTTTAAAATCTATATAAGTTAGAAACAAAACATTTAAAAATTTTCTTATGTAATTAAGAATGATATAATAGATTTGAGATGAACTTGTAATCAAATGTTTGGATGGACATGTGACTATGCTCAGCGTATATTTACGTTTTTCTAGAAAGCAGAATTAATAGTGTATCTATTTTCATTTTCTTTAAAGTTTGAAAACGATGTGTTCAACATTCGATTATAACTATTTTAAACTTTCGAAAACAATAAAACATAACTCATGCTTTTATATACATTAATATTTATAAAATGGTAACAGTACTATATAATTATATATATAGTCTTATCAAACAACAACTATATTATATCCGGAAAATGACCTAAAGTACCAGTACTCATTCGTTTTAATCTTTGATGTCCAATTCACATCAAACAGATTCTATTATGGTGCACACGCGCGTGACATGTTGCTAATTAAAACCCAGCACGAAAACGGTAATTAAGAAGAATAGATAACTAAAAACCAACCTTAACAAGAAGCGAAGTCACCTGATCATCATCCACAATCTTTTGTCTTCAGACATCCTGATAAATCTCATGCTGTTGTGTAAATTTTGTCTGTGTGTATATGTGTTTGAGAGAGGGAGAGAGAGAGAGAGAGAGAGAGAGAGAGAGAGAGAGAGAGAGAGATATGGTATATATTTACATATGGAAATGTATAGGTAAAGAAGATGATCCGAAATTAAAGTTGATGGGCCGGTTTAATTAAATGAGGTTTGTTGGGGTTAGGTAATGTATGGTTTACTACTACTTGACTTACTAGATAAATCTGCATGCAATCACAACGCTCAAGGGCTCAAGGTTGGTGTGAACATTTATGGAGCCTTGGCTACAACTTCTGCCATTCCAGCTCCTCCTAAGACCTACCATCACCACCAGTGCACGTACAAATGTCAAAGCAATGAGTAAAAGCTGTTGATACAATTAATTACAGGGGTAATAAGGGAAAAATGGACTGGGAAACTTGGTGTAGTAATCCAGTAATGGCTTGCATGTTGCAGTTTTTCGGTAAAATCAATTTGGGGTGGGGGTGGGGGATTGTACATGCCAGTCTCACAATTTGGTTCTGGGTTTTGACGGATTTGCCCTGGTGGATGTACACCTGTTCAGTGTTGCTGTTGAGTGAAGTTGGTGAACGATATAATCTTTTGGATCGAGTTGGAAAATCATCTGGTTGTTTTTCTCCTTTGAGGTTTGACGATTTTGCCCTTGCTGGTGCTATGAGAAGACATGAAGTCTTGATACTATTCAGGTCTTTATCGGGCCGCCATTCTTTTTTCATCAAAGTGGTGTTGGTCCTAGTGTTTTTCTAGTTGTTTGTGTGTTTGCTTAATCATTGGACTCTTTGTGTTCTCGGTCCATCTTTATATAATTTTTGCAGTTCAAAAAAAAAAAAAAAGTTATTGAGAAAAATTGACATTTTTTATTTTCATCTCCAAACTTCAATGGATCCTTATAATCTTTAGGTGACAGATTTCCTATTTTTATTCCAAGATAGGCCGTTTCAGTATGGAGGTCAATTTCCAATGTTTTCCGGGTTTGGAGTGAGTGTGGCCTGGATAAGTAGAATTTCTCTACTAACCTTGTAGTATGATTAAGTTTAATTATATGTAAGACTGAACTTCGAGTTTGTGAAAATGAATATTAAAAAAAAACAAAATTTACATTTTTTTATAACTTACATGAAAACCATTATGTAAAAAATGTTTTTTTTTTGTGTGTGTGTAAAAAAAGAAGTTAATTTGTTAAAACGGAAAAAACTTAAAAAAAATCATAAAACTAAGGGTGACAAATCGGACCATCGTGTCGTGCTTTTGTCTGACACGACACAACACGACAATGTTTTATGTGACACAGACACGACACGATACGATATCGTGTTTTTTTAACTAACACGAAACTAACCAATTAAAAAACGACAAAGATAACATAATATAACAATTAGTTTGTTTAATTAATATTTAATAATACATAACACGACAAACACGGAAAACACGACAAAAATTGCTAAATCGTGTCAATTCGTTTCGAATTTTGAACACGGACACGACACGACACGACATCGTGTTTTTTTACACTTGACACGAACACAACGCAAACACAAATTCAAATATCAGTTTCGTACCAATTTCGTTTCGTGTCGTGTATATCATCAATTGCCACCTCTACATAAAACCATATGGTAAGCCAATGCACTAAGACCAGCCGGAGTGGGCGCGGATGAGGTCACACTCCCCTTGCCACATAAGCACAAACATCGCCCCCTGGGTGCGGTCCAGGTGCGGCTGATGCTGCGATGCGGCTTTCGGAGGGAGCGGTTCTTGCTTGGTTTTGATTGGCCAACCCATTTTGACTGTTGCAAACGGTCATAATTTGGGTTTTTTTTTTCTTTTAACCTTTAACATCTATTTAAACCTCTCAACCCTTCATTTTTTTTATCTTTCTACTACATTACCTCTCGAAAAAATCAAAAAAATGTCTTCGTCCGATTCTTCTAAAGAATTTGATGTTATGTTCGATGTTTTTGTCGCTGCTGCTAAATTTGCGGAACAAACGTATGAAGCAACATGCAGTAGGGCATCCGGCAGTGCTGAACAGAGAAACGGAAGATTTATTTGTAGAAATCGTGAAGATGCAAACCAACGTCTGATACAAGACTACTTTCAATAAAATGCCACTTTTCAAGGGTACTATTTTAGAAGACGCTTCAGAATGTTCAAACCATTGTACGAACGTATAGTCGAAGATCTAACGAGGGAGTGTGATTATTTCGAGCAACAACCCGATGCTAGAGGTACACCCGGTTTCACCCCTTTACAAAAATGCACAGTTGCACTTCGTCAATTAGCATATGACATCCCTCCTGATGTGTTGGACGAGAGTTTTAGGATGTTAGCTAGGACTGCACGAGATAGTTTACACTATTTTTGCAAAACTATTATTCAGTTTTATGGTCCAAAATATTTACGTAAGCCTATATGCAATGACATCATGAAATTGCAATCTCATCATGCTAGCGTACATGGCTTTCCCGGAATGTTAGGAAGTTTAGATTGTCTACATTAGGCATGAGAAAATTGGCCTACCTCACACCATAATCAATTTACCCGAGGTGATCATGGGCATCCAACGGTCATACTTGAAGCAGTTGCATCACAGGATCAGTGGATTTGACATGTTTTTTTGGTTCTCCTGGATCCCTTAACGAAATTAACGTTCTTAATCGTTCACCTATATTTAACAACATATATGACAAATCTAAACCAAATTCTTCTTTCCAATTGCGTGAAACACCATATAAATATGGTTATTATCTAGTTGATGGTGTCTATTCTGAGTATGCAGTTTTTGTTAAATCATTTACGTGTACGAATGATACTCGTCGGAAAAAATTCAAGAAAGCTCAAGAAAAGAGCTAGGAAGGATGTCGAGCGGGCTTTTGGAGCTCTCAAGAAACGTTGGTTTATATTGAAAAAACCAGCGATTTTTTTCAACGAGGAAAAAATGCATGAAGTCATGTATGCATGTATAATACTGCATAATATGATTATCGAAAATGAAGGAAGAACGATATGTGAGTATGCCGAAGAGAAAACCATTCCCGCGATACAAACAATAGAAATTATGGGCGACAAGTACATTGAAAAGAGAGCAGGGGTTCGTTGCAATGAAATATTTCACAATCTTCGTATGGACTTGGTGGAACACATTTACGGGATTCAACACATTAACCTCAATTTTGATCCGGAGGATGACCCGAATGACGAGTTCTCAGAGGACGACTTCATAAAGTGTGTTTTATTTTTAATCGTTTGATGTATGTTTTTTTAAGTTTGCACGTTTAAAATTTCTAGCTTTTTTTTTTTTTTTTTTTTTTTTTTTTTTTTTTTTTTTTAGGTTTTTAGGATTTTTTAAGCAATGGAATATAATGTTATTTTTATTTTGAAGTAATGAAATAAATGTTTTTTTATTAAAAATATAGTTTTTATTTAATTAAAATGAATTTTTTTTTTCAAGTGTGACACATTGGGTGTGACATTAAACCACACTTTTGTGATAAATGATGACGTGTCGCCTACGTGACAGTGAAGGGAATGCAACTTTTGTGGCACCACTTTTTCCGGACTAATAGCTATGTTCAGATCTGACCATGTTTAGGGTATGCGATCAGGGCCTCGCAACAACCGAGGTTGTAAATTCTAGGTAGGGGTGTAAGTGAGCCGATCTACTAGGGATCGACTCGTTAAAAGCTCGACTCGAGATCGAATTAAACGAGCTCGAGCCTAAATATGAGACTCGTTTATTAAACGAGCTCGAGCCGAACTTCAATTAGTGGGCTCGCGAGCCTAAGTGAGCCTAAACGAGCAT